GTGGAATGGAACTTTGTAAAATTTGACTACTATAAATACGAATGAGATATAAGCCATCAACGAGATCGAGAGATTCCATGGTACGCCTGTACAGTATCAAATGGTCTCAGAGAGATCCCATGGTACGCCTGTACGGTACCAACTGACCTCGGAGAGTGCAACAACAAGTTGTAATTTTAATTTTAGATGATGTGTATTTATCTAAAAAGTAAGGTTTAAAAAGGAATAAAAGGAGAAGTTGCCAGTGTTGCATCGATGGAGCGACAACGAACGTCGATGACACATACAGCTGCTCAGGTATTCAACAAAGTATAGTGGTAATTTTTGACTCATAAAACGATAAGTGGCGGTTTTCAGCGGTTTGCTTGCTTGCTTTTTTCTTAAGTAGAAAAACCAAGAAAATGTTAAAAAACAACAGAAAAAAAAACATACAAATGGTAGGGAAGTCGACTAGTGATACTCTTTAGCGGACCACCCATATCACTTCTCGTCAGTTTCCATATTCGTCGCAAATTGGGCAACGACAGATTCTCGGATGCAAGATAACTTGCTGCAGTGTTGCTGCTCATTGCAATATTTTTCATCAGTTCATGGCCTTCAGGCCCAGCATCCATACCTGTACAAGAAGCATATCAATGATCACGTGCTCGTACGCGGAGCCCAGACGTGCGTGAGAGTTGATACCGCGGTTCTGGGGTGGCACTTGGCTGGGAAACATACTAGCAAAATTTCAGCCTCAAAGCTTGCGTACTGGATTTACTAGATTTCTTTTCTCTATAAAATACTAGATTTCATACTAGATCTAATTTCTCCATAAAAAATTATATCTTTTCAATCGCTTTTTTGAAAAAAAGCAAAAGTCCCCAGTGTCAAAGGCTCCATCTGTTCCCCTGTATGAAATTATGCAAATGAAACTACGCAAAAAAACGCAGTGAAACGAAAAAGCCGCCAGATGCTGCATCGAAGCAAGAAGCCCGGTAAAGAACAGCTCATCAAAATTAATGCTAATAACAGTACCGGCATTTTCAACAAGTAATACCCCACCAGTTACCCGATAAAATAAGTTATTTTCGTGATATTCCCTTCCTAACTTATTCTAAAATCCTTTTCTTCTTCCTTCCTTTTCCCTTCATTTTCTTCATTCCACTTTTTCTTCATCCAATCCCACTATCAGATCTTCCACTTCTGTCTTCTTCCTTTTTTCATTTCCTTTTCCATTAAGTACTGCAACCGTCATACTGACGAGGTCCTGTCGCGCAGTGTTCAGTTAAGGCGTATATGTCTTAATGGACCGAAACGTCTTATCTCACTCTTATCGCCTTCTATCACATTGTAATCTATCGTGCCCTTGCCATTTAGGCTCCCAGGGTCAACCTGGCTGCTACAAATTACTTTTTACTTGCAAGCGCCAAGATCCACAGCAAAGTGCAAAACACACAAAATTAATTACGAGATTAATTATAAAAAAAATATACTTTTTTCAAATTGTGGTTGGCTCAGGTAGCCTGTACTGCTGAATGGTACTACTACATCACTTCCTTCTACAATATCTTGTTCCACGTGGCGCACACTTGTTTGCTCGATTTGTACCGTTATTAGCTAAAAGCAGCAATTTTTAAGTTCTGCGCTGCAATATTTTAGTGACCGAAAATGAATTTGCATGCAAAAAGCATGTCAATGCAATATACGAGTTGCAGCTGCTGCTAGCCTTGCCCTCTCTTGAAAAGCAAAAAAATATTGCACCAAAAATGTGACAGTAAAATGAGTTTTACTTTGGGAAACAGCTCTACAGTGAACTATTTGAGAACTCGACAACAAGTAAATTCCTCATCGAAGGATCTCTATTCACATAGGCGCATCTGGGGCCGCCGAGTGGAGGGGGTAGCACAGGCACCAGTGCTACAAAAAGTCCGGGTTTAAAACTAAAATTGAAGAAAGTTGTCTCCCGCACCTCCCTCTTGCCCTCCCTCCCCCTTCCAAGAAGCCACCCTGTATTCAAGAACCGGAACCGAGTAGTGGACTCCACTGGTGAACAAATCAATTACCCTAATTTGTCCATTTATTATGATGTTAATTAGTGCAAGTCATCAACTTGTCAAATAGCGATTCATCCGTTTCTAAGCAACCCTCGAAGGCAGCAAAAATGGACATTCCTGCCTCGAACTGTGCTTGTTTTTAGCAAAATACTACCAATCGGAGGGGATGGGGAGATGCGTGCATTCATTCTCCACGAGGAATGAAATTATGGCGCCAATTTCGAATTTAACAATACTAATGTACAAGATTTACGCTTCCCACGAAAAACTTTCCACGAAAAAAAAATTTTTTTTACGAAAAAAACTTTCCATGAAAAGTTCCTGCAATTCCAGCCATGTCCCACGTTTAAGAAGGCATCGCAATTTAGTAAAAGTTAGCCAAATTGATGTAAAAAGGGTAAGGGGGAAGCGAAAAACAATGCATTTATGTTTCGCTGGTAAAAAAACAAGATCGAGCTTTATCGCAACATTTATCCAGATAAAGTCTAATTTATCCTTTTTTTCTCTCTTTAGTCCTTTTATAATCTTTTTTAAACCCTTGTTTTCTCTTTTATCTATTCCTTCTTCACCCCATTTTCATCCCCCTAATCCTCTTTCTTTCCTCGCATCTTTCTCCTCTTTTCCCTTTCTCTTTCTTGTCCATTAAACGATTCGATCGTCATACTGACGAAGATCCTGTCGCAGTGTTCAGACGTACATGACTTAATGGACCGGAACGTCTTTTCTCATTCTTGCCTCCTTTGCTCATACTTTCCTGCTTTCTGAACCAAATACGCCTCTGACAGTTTTGCATTCAAGGTCAACCCGGATACTACAGTCGGCTTATCCAGATAAAGTTTATCCACCGGGCAATGTCACCTGTCAGAAATCTTCATTCAGTGGAAGCATAATCATGTTTAGGCAATTATATCCTCCAAAAAAAAAAGCTTCACTCAAAATTTTGGTTAATAAAAACCAACTTTTCCAGAATCTTTTGTAAGCAGCACAACTTTTCCACCATCCATAACGGTGCATTGCGTCACCACTTCATTACAGAGCGTATAGAATCTATTGGTGCTCATATTGATAAAATACGCTTTGCCATCCATTGTGCGCTGCAAAATATTTTAAATGAACTTTTAGCTCCAAAAAACGTTCAATCACAACAAATTTACGAGAAATTTAAAAAAAAGACCCGTAAGCTGAGAACTTTTCGTGAACTTTCCGAAAACTCCACAAATTTACTAGTGCTTCAGAAAAAACCCCCAAGTTTTTGCGGGCTCAGAAATGACAACATCTGAAACTAGGGGCAATACTGAGCACCACTTCGTCCCAAAATTTGCATATTGAGATGGGGTAAACTTTACCACGTATTTCTACCGGCCGAATCTGCTGATCCTTTCGGGAAACAAAAAGAATATCAGGGCCGATTTCCTGACAGCCTGATGAAGCACTGGTGAACAAATTATGGAACTAAAGAAATGGACCTTGGCTTTTCGCCAACTCCAGCTGCTCTCGCAGATAACGAGGTGAAAGAAACAGACGACGGACAGAGGGTGTTAAGAATCTCGCAGTGCTCAAATCACCGTACTGTTTTACCAACGTAGAGATCTTCCTCATAGTCGGATCCCAGGCGGTCCTCTGGAGGGGAACTCAGAGCTTGTAACAGCAAATGCTCCAGAAATTTCAGGTGAGTTTTTTTCGATAGAAAATTTGTAATTTTTAATAAAATACATCAGAAAAAAAAAGTGAAATTCGTACAATAATAGCGCCGTCGAAATATTCGTTGTACAATGATTCAGGATTGAAAGAACCATGCGACTGATTCAACAGATCCAAATGCGCCGGAGAAAACTGCGCAATTCGGAAATCTTTA